TAAAATAACATATTGTACGCTTCGATTGATAAAGTGGTTGTGTAACTATCGTAATTTTAAAAATTGTCATTTTTTTTTGCACACCACTGTAAATCAGGAGTTAGATAAAAAATAGCTAAATATATTCAGAAAACAATGATTTAACCGAAGAGAAAAGGTCAGGTCGATCACGTTGCACAACGGTGGAAGATGAAAATCATAATGTAACAATCATTGATATACAACGGGTGCTTGAAAAAAAGTGATATTGAGGTTAGTGAAAGAACAAATTAGACAACGTCTTAGTGAATCTGGGGGGAAATTTGTTAAAGAATTCCAAAAACCAATGCTTTCTGATAAGCACCGAGTCAGCCATCAATGTCACCTGATCAAAATCCAATTGAAATGCTCTGGCAACTTTGAGAAGGAGGGTTGCGACATTAATAAATTCAGAGGGTGACTATATGATGTATTAATGATCATATTAATAAAAAAATTTTTTATGATTTATTTTTGATTTTTAGATAAAATAAAGTGTGTGCGTAATTTTGATCACATATTTAAATTCTTTATAACATACAACTTCGAAAAAATATTTAATGTCAAAATCATTTTAAGTATTATAAAATTATTCAATATGCGTTTGCGTCAAACATTTTCCGAGAAAAAACGTCCCAACCTGAAAATTCAAAAGATGTGTTTCTATGATTTTATCGTCAGAAAAGTTTAAAGCATTTATTTCAATTTAATCATATATATAAAAATTAATTATATTTACATGTAAAAAAATTTATTATGTATGATAAATTTACATGGGAATATTGAAATTTCAGAATAGGTAAATAAAGATACGCGGAGCGTAATTTCGGAGCGATTGTCATAGGTTTTAAAGTTGCATGGCATGTAAAGGATATTGATTAAAGTCGGGGTTTTTTTGCAAATATAAAGTTCACAACAATGGAATTTCGAGACGAATAAATAATAAGTTTATTAGATAAACCTTTGAAAAGAAATTTCGGAAAAAGTTAAACTTTTGATGCCGAATAACATGAATTTATCATAATCAAACTTAACATATTTGGATAATTTTAGTTTCGTCTAATTTACCTTTTGAATAAATAAAACTTAAAACAAACTTTAATTAATGCATTTATGCAGTATTGTTTGGAAGTATCAATGGTATCATCCACATTTTTTGTTGATGATACCATGGTTAGAAACTAATGTTATTATAAGCTGAGATCGATTTATTAATAATAATTACCTTTCTTCAAAAAAAAAAAATAATATTCGCGTATAACTTTTTGATTCATTATAATAAAATTGTAAATTATGTATATATATTTGCTTAAATGTTTAAAAGTCTTATGATGTTGTACCCCGCGTTTTAAACATTATCCATTGTTTCTGTCGTTAGCATTATGCAAAATAAATAAATAAATAAATAGATTTTTTCATTTTGATCTTTGGTTATTTGCTCACATTATGAGCGCATAAATATCTAATTCCGGTACCTCTCTAATGTTTGATTCATAATATTTTAATAATAACTGCGTGACGGATCACACCGCACTTTTTTTTTTTTTTTTAAAAAAAAAAAAAAATAATTAATTCTCTTTTCCCACGAAATCGATGGGCATTAAATTTACGCGTTGTCTGAATTCGTCATTGTAAATGAATAAAACTTTGAACAATGATTCAATTGTTTTATAATGAAGTCATTACACATACATAATGCGCGAACCTGTACGTCAAAAAAATGGAACAAAGGTTTTTGATGTATAATGTAAATCTACAAGGATTTTAATCACCCACTCACTCACGTTCTATGATCAATATTAACTTTAAAAAAAAATTTATTCTTGAAATAATTCATAATTATGAATGGAACGATAAGGCATCATATGGGTGGTCAAAAATCAAAGGTTACATGTATTACCGTATAAGGTAATAATAATTATATTAGGTAATATAAAAAAAAGAAAGTGAGGGAATGATAAAAGATAAGAATTTTCCATAAAATAAAATACACTTGGAATTTCACTGTCTTGTTAACAGATACATCACAATATCTAAAATTTACCACTTAAATTTGTGTGCATATCATATATGATATGAACTTTTTTGTCTAATTTTAAAAAGGACATTTCATCTTTTCTACAAATGGATAATTATAAAAAAAAAAAGTTTCCGCGATTAATTTCACAAATAAAGGATTATTGACGTTAATACTCGAATAAATTTTTAAATAAAGTATCAAAGAACGTTCCACCACAAACCATGGATAAGGAAGACCATTAGACCGATCCCCCGAGATAATGGGAGTCTTTTATTTATATTATATGTTGGCGCTTTAATATCATCCATTGATCGCGCTCTTTCGATTCAATTCTTCTCAAATTTTTTTTCTCTGTACTCCATATTATAGTTCTACATAAAAAGTTAACTTTTTTATTGATTTACCGTTACTTTTGTTGGGAAAATTGTTAAATCGGTCAAATTTAACAAACACATATGCATGTAATTTACGCGTTGTCTTTATGAATTTATTTTACAAATAATGGAACGCATTTAACATAAAGATACCTTTTGCTTTAAACTATTTAAACTACATATCTTTATTAACTACAAATGAATTCACGATCCACGATGCTTAATAATAATAAAAAATAGACGTTTTTAGACCAATTAAATATTTACGCATGTTTTTATGTAGAACAAGACTGTATAATAAATGTCACAAGTTTCTAGAGAGGATTTCCGAAAGTAAACGGCTTCTCGTTAAGTAATTTGAATAATAAAGTTTTGTGATAATTGATTAAATGATTTTTTTTTTTTTAATATTGTGTCGATGAGCAGTGACAAGATGGCATTTTTATCACCTTACATAAATTAATCGTTTTAGTTAGTAGTAGAACATGATGAACAGAAATCCTATTATTCTCTCTCCCCATCAAATTTTTTTTTTTTTTTTTTTTGAATATTCCTTTGCATTTCAAATTTTTTTTTTTTTAACAAAAATGAGCAAATCTAGATCTATTTGGACTCCCTTTGTAAGTAATTATTCTATAACTTCCATTTGTTCATATTATTTTTGCTCAAGATAAATTATTGCCTTAAAAAAAACAAAAAAAAAAATTTATTAGGATGATTGTTTATTAGTCCAAGCTGTAAATTTGGAGCCCACCACCCGAATCAACTGGAACGTTATTGCCGGTCACTTTCGGGCGCGTAATTCGAGATCTTGTAGAATTAGGTGTCTTTCTTATCTTTTATCTTTATATTCTTGTTTATAATACCATAACCGACATTTTAACATTATTTCTTTTGATGAATGCTATTTAAAGATGGTATGAACTTAATACCCATGGCGCAGGTAAATTTATCACGTGATAACCCGTTTTACCTTTTGTCAATGTGATGAAAATTAAATTTCATAATACATAGTAGGCGCGTTGAGGATAATGAGGATGATTCAGTTAAGAGATATGGTCGCCCATCGTCAAGCTCCCCAAAGTAAATTACTTTTTTATTGAAATATTTTTAATGTTTTTAATAAATTTATAATTCTTTCCCTTATAATATATAGCAATCGATCAACAGACGATGGACGCGTTCCGGAACGCCTTGTACGTTTTATTCATTTTCTGTGATATTAAAAAAAATGACTTTTAACAACATTTTCTTCTTTTTGTAGGAGAGAGTTGGCGAGTCGGGATTAATTATATTTTATTTTTTAAAATTTTTTTAAAATAAAGTTGTTGTGAATCATAAAATTTCTAAGACATAAGTATTTAATCACGTGTAAATGTAATAAATGGTCAGTTCAAAGTTGGACTAGAGCGTCCCGACTCATTTAGATGTGAAATTGCAACATTAAGAAATTTCAACATGGGTGAACTGAAATGTCTAGAACAGTGTCTGTTAAAGAAGTTGTTGGGTCAAGTATTTGGGTTACCATTAAAAGGTAATTTATAAATAGATTGAGGCCAAAGCTGAATTGGAACGCAAGGCAATTGATGCTTATGTCAAATATATGGCAGATACTGTATAGCAGTGATGTGCACTTGGAAGATTGGAAGCACCCTTGGAAGCACTTTTGGAAGGGCTGGAAGCATAATTCTCTAATAAATTCATTTGGGTTGGAAGCTTCCAATCAAATTTTATACTATTGGAAGCATAAGATGCACATCACTGCTGTATAGGGTAAAGGCTTTGATTTGGTAAAGAAAGATTCTGAATTTTTACAAATAACAAGTTTTATATTTATAAGTCTAATTGTTATTGATTTGATAATTTTTAGATTGCTTTAAACAAATTCTCTGACTTACAAACTTAATATATATAAAGTAACGTTATTAGCATCTCTGATAACACTCATAATGTTTCATTATTTTTTTTCAGATATGTATTTAATTACTAAAGTTAAAGGCTGCAGCAATTTTATAGTTCTGAATCTCTTTACATTAAATAGATATCTGTTTTTTAGTAACATTATAAGTTTATTTATATTAAATTAATTTTGCATAATTTTAATTAATATTTATTGTAATATATATTATAATTATAAATTTTAATTAAAAGTTTAAATACTATTTGAAGTAGATAGTAATCTTTTAGAAATTGCTATCTATTTACTTCATATTATTATTAAGTTTTAATACTAAGAAATAGTAATCATTTTAATTAAAAACATAATTTTAGATAAAAGAATTTATAATAAAAATCATAATTTATTAATTTATATTTAATTTTTTAGTATTTAATTTTTTGTAAATAACATAATATGATATCAGCAATATAGAATTTATTAGTGATTATATGTCTAGTATTTAATTTTTCTCATTATGCTTTATATAAATTAAGAAATCACAATCTGCAACTTCATAATTTATCTATGAATTATTAATATCTTCTTGTTTAATTTAAATTTAATTGTATATATTCTTGTAATATTTATATTAACAACCTATTAATCTTATTTGAAAGCATTTTTATCTTATTTGTATTAATAGTCTTTTAGTCTCATTTGAATTTATTCTTATTATTTTAGTATTATCCTTCCTATTAATTTTAAGTACTTTCTTATTATTCTTATATTTTTTTCCTTTAGTAGAATTTATTTATTTTTTTATTATTCTTATACTATTAGATATCTAGTACAATTTGTTTACTTTCTTATAGTATAATATTTAAAAAAAATAAATTATTACTAGAAAATAAAGATTAATTTTCAAAACTGAATGTCTTTTTTAATAACATAATTTTTTTTGTATGAGTCTATTTAATTGCTAAAATATGTAATACTAAATTAACATTTATTTAATATCTTAAATTATTTATTTCTGAGATAAATAGTATTAAATTTACAATCTTATTTTATATCTTATTTAATTGTTAAAATTGAGATACGTAATATTAAATAATATTTATTTAGTATTTTTTAAAATATGTAATATTATCTGATTCTGAAAATAAATTATTTAGTATTAAATTTACAATTTATTAGTTTTATTATATTCATTTATCATAGATAAGATATATAATTAAGGTTGTTTATCTAAACTCATTTTGAATTTGGCAAAATTTCTAAACTATAGTTTTATTAATTTTTTACTAAGGTTGTGATATAGTTTTGCATTCTTATAAGCTTTAATATAGTTTTACTTTTTTTAGAATTTTACAGATTTTTTGATAAAGTTTTAATATAATTTTGCTAAATTTTATCTTTTTTCATTTAGACGACTTGCAAAACCTCTAAGTTTCATCTAATAATCTTATATATAATACTAAATTAAAATATAAAAATATAATTTTTATTTTATATTATATTAATTATATCTTTACATTTTACTAAATTTTATTATTTTTTAGTTAAAATATTTTTTTACATAATTGTTATTTTAGAACACTATCATATCAATCTTTTTTTACTAATTTTTTTTTAGGTATTTTATATCAATTACTTTTGAATTCTACTTATTAATTACTTTTAGATTTTACTATATCAATTATTTTTAAATATTACTATATTGATATTTTTGTATTCTATTATTATTATTATTATTACAGTCAACTCTTGTTATAGCGAACTCTTGATATAACGAATTTTTTGAACAAATATAATAAAAATACTCTTGT